ACTGACTGGTGTGAAATAGAGGCGGTTTTCAGGTAGCTGAGGGTGTTGCTGGTCCAGAAAAAGGCGGTCCTCCTCAAATGGATGCTGCTGGAGGGGATCAGGCAGATTATAGGCAGAAGCTACAGCAGATCAGACTTGTTTATAACGAAGAATTAAGGAAATATGAAGAGGTAGGCTTCTTGCGTTATTGTCTTTGTAAAGTCACTCGTTTCTTTTTTAATATCACGATTTATAGCAGTCAGATACTGAGCCTTTTTCAAGACATTTGTATTCGCTTTTCTTCTAGGCATGTCATGAATTTACCCAGCATGTAGTATCACTTTTAAAAGAACAGAGTAGGACACGACCAATCTCAGAAAGGGAAATAGAAAGAATGGTATCTATTATTCAGAAGAAGTTCTCTGGCATTCAGGTAAAAATATTTTAGCTTGTCTTCTTTTGTCTGTAATATGGTGCTGTTGACCTTCTAAGCCTTTTTTAGGTGCAACTGAAACAGTCTACTTGTGAAGCAGTAATGATTCTTCGCTCTCGATTTCTCGATGCAAGGTCCTCTTGTTTTCGTAGTAATTTGATAACATCTTCTCATCTTTAAATATCTACTAATTTTCATTGTTTAGGCGAAAGCGGCGGAATTTCAGTAAGCAAGCAACTGAAGTTCTGAATGAATATTTTTATTCGCATCTAAGTAATCCTTATCCATCAGAAGAGGCTAAAGAGGAATTAGCAAGGCAGTGTCAAATCACTGTTTCACAGGTACTATCGACTGGCTGTCAGATATGGGTTGTCAAAACGTTTTATTTTTTTTTTTTTGTTGACCTTTTCAGTCCATTTTAGAGGTTTGAAAAAAAGTAAGGTTTTTCAAGGGTTTGCTGTTTAGGTTTCAAATTGGTTTGGTAACAAACGGATTCGTTATAAGAAGAATATAGCCAAAGCTCAGGAGGAAGCAAATATGTATGCTGCTAAAAAGGCACACGGCATAGCAGGTACTTCTTTTAAGGATTTCTCTGTTATTTTACTTTTATTTTTGTTGCTACTAGGACATTAGATGGAATTTTAAAGTTTTTTAAGTTCAAGTTAGGTTAATACCAATTTCAATTTTTCTCTTTTTGATCTGTTATAATAAAATTTGTGGTTTTATTATGCTTAGTTTTTCTATACTATATAAAAGCGGTTCCAGCTGCTAGTCAGTACGGTGTCTTGGCCGGTTCTTCTGCCGCTG